ACAACAAAAGATCCCAAATAGCCAAAGCAATCCTGAGAAAAAAGAACAAAGTTAGAGGTATCACACTCTCTGAATTCAAAATATACTACAAAGTTATAGTATGATACAGGCGGAAAAACAGACACACAGAACAATGGATCAGAATTGAGGCCTAGAAATAAAACCACACATCCACTGACAGCTAATCTTTGACAAAGAAACCAAGAACATACAATGGAGAAAGAAAAGAAATGATCAAGAAAGCCGTCATATCTGAAAAAAAAGAAAGGGTTTAAAAGCCTTGAGCTGGGAGATAAATAGACAAAACCAGAAAATCACAGCTCTCTATCAGGACAGGTTAGCAAACAATTATAGCATTAAAGATAAAGGGAAGGAAAGCATCAAAAATAACTATAAACACTTCATTTTAATCACAAACTCACAACACAAAATGGAATAAGTTGTGACAACAATAACTTAGATGGGAAAGAGGAATGGGATGGAAGCTTCTTAGACTAAAGAGATAAGAGGCTATCAGAAAATGGACTATCTCATCTATGAGATCTTTTATACAAACCTCATGGTAACCACTAAATAAAAAATCAGAAGAGAGACACAAATGACAAGTAAAGAGAAAACTTGGAAACCCATCATAAAGAAACACCAAACTAAACTGACCATCAGAAATACATGGGATGAGAAATAAGGGAAATACAGAACAACCAGAAAACAACTGATAAAATGGCAGTATTAACCCCTCAAATATCAATAATCACTCTAAATGTAAGTGGGTTGAATTCTCCAATCAAAAGACACAGAGTGGCTGGATGGATTAAAAAACAAGACCTAGCAATATGCTGCCTGCAGGAAACACATCTCAGTGCTGACTACAAACACAGACTCAGAGTAAAGAGCTGAAAGATGATACTCCAAGCAAATGGCAAACAAAAGAAAGCAGATATAGCCGTACTTATATCAGACAAAGTAGACTTCAAGATAAAAAAGACAATGAGAGACAAAGAGGGACAGTACATAATGATAAAAGGGACACTCCTTCAAGAAGACATAACACTTATAAATATATGTGCACCTAACACGAAAACACCAAAGCACGTAAAGCAACTATTGACAGACCTAAAAGGAGAAATTAACAGCAACACAATAGTAGTAGGGGCTCTCAACATCCCACTTACATCAATGGATAGGTCATCCAGACAGAAAGTCAACAAGAAAATAGTGGAATTAAAGGAAGTACTAATCTAGATGGACTTAATGGATATATATAGAACACTCCATCCAAAAGCAGCACACTACACATTCTTCTGAAGTGTACATGGAACAATACGTTGGGAAACAAGGCAAGCCTCAATAAATGTAAGAAGACTGAAGTCATATCTAGCATCCTTTCTGATCATAATGCTATTAAACTAGAAGTCAACTACAAGAAAATAGCTGGGAAAGTGACAAATATGTGGAGACTAAACAACATGCTACTGAACAATCAATGGATCAATGCAGAAATTAAAGGAGAAATAAAAAAACATCTGGAGACAAATGAAAATGAAAATACACCATACCAACTTATATGGGATGCAGCAAAATCAGTCCTAAGAGGGATGACATAAAGAAATGGAATGATAGTCTATGCACATGAATTGGAAGAGTAAACTACTTAAAATGTCCATACTACTTAAAGCAGTCTACAGATGTGATGCAGTCCCAGTCAGAATCCCAAGGACCATTCTTCACAGAAATAAAACAAAGAATCCTAAAATTCATGTAGCGTGACAAAAGACCCCACGTAGATAAAGCAATCCTGAGAAAAAAGAACAAAGAACAAAGCTGGAGGCATCACAATCCCTGACTTCAAAATATCCTTCAAAGCTATGGTAATCAAAACAGCATGGTACTGATACAAAAACAGACACACAGACCAATGGAACAGAATTGAAAGCCCAGAAAAAAAAACTACATATCTACAGACAGCTAATCTTTGACAAAGGAACCAAGAACATACAATGGAGAAAGGAAAATCTCTTCAAAAGATGATATTGGGAAAACTGGACAGCCACTAGCAAAAGAATGAAAGTAGACCATTATCTTTCACCATACACAAAAATGAACTCAAAATGGATTAAAGACTTGAAGGTAAGATGTGAAACCATAAAACTCCTAGAAGAAAATATAGGCAGTACACTCTTTGACATCAGTCTTAGAAGCATATTTCAAATATCCTGACTACTTAGGCAAGGGAAATAAAAGAAAAAATAAACAAATGGGACTACATCAGACTAAAGAGCTTCTGCCAGGCAAAGGAAATCAGGAACAAAACAAAGACAACTCACCAACTGGGAGAAAATATTTTCAAATCATATATCCGACAAGGTATTAATCTCCAAAGTATATAAAGAACTAATACAACAACAAAACAAACAACCTAATCAAAAAATGGCCTGAGGCTATGAACAGAGATTTTTCCAAAGAAGACATACAGATGGCCAACAGGCACGTGAAAAGATGTTCAACATCACTAATCATTAGGGAAATGCAAATCAAAACTGCAATGAGATATCACCTTATACCTGCTAGAACCGCTACAATTACTAAGAGAAAAAAATAAATGTTGGAGAGGATGTGGAGTAGAGGGAACCCTCGTATACTGCTGGTGGGAGTGCAAACTGAGGCAGCCACTGTGGAAAACATTATGGAGATTTCTCCAAAAATTAAAAATAGAAATACCATATGATCCAGCTATCCCACTACTGAATATTTATCCTAAGAACTTCAAATCAACAATTCAAAAAGACTTATGCACTCCTATGTTCATTGCAGCATCATTCACAATAGCCAAGATATGGAAGCAACCCAAGTGCCCATCAACTGATGAATGGATAAAGAAGATGTGGTGTATATACAATGTAATACTACTCAATCATAAAAAAAGACAAAATTGTCTCACTTGCAACAACATGGATGGATCTTGAGTATATTGTGTTAAGTGAAATAAGCCAGACAGAGAAAGACAAACACGGCATGATTTCACTCAAACATGGAAAATAAACAAATATGTGGACAAAGAGAACGGATTAGTGGTTACCAGATCGGAAGGGGGTTGGGAGTTGGGCATAAGTGGTAAGGGGGCACGTATGTATGGTGACTGACAAATAATAATGTACAACTGAAATTTCACAATGTTATAAACTACTATGACCTCAGCAAAATAATTTTTTAATAAAAGGAATGAACTACTGACATATGCTACAACATGGATGAACTTTGAAAACATTCTGCTAAGTGAAAGAAGCCAGACACAAAGGTCACATGTTGTATTCTTTCAGATATTTGAAATGTCCATAAAAGGCAAGTCCATAGAGACAGAAAGCACATGAGTGGTTGCCAGGGCTGGAGAGAGGAGGGAATGAGGAGTGATTGCTAATGGTTAAGGCTGTTTCTTCTAGGGGTGATAAAAATGTGATGGGGTAGAAATGGTGATGGTTGCACAAGGTTGTGAACGTACTAAATGCCACTGAAGTTACAGTTTTGAAAGGTGAATTTTATGGCATAGAAATTATGTCCCAATAAATAATTTTATAAATGTAAATTACCAATTTTCCCGTAGTAATTATACGCTGTCCCATCTCTCTCCTCCCGCCACTCCGTTCCCTTTTACGCCCGCTCTACAATCTCCCACCCCTCACTCCCTCCAGCCATCCCATGAGGCCTCTCATGGAGCAACTCTGGATCCTTGGGCCCCTGCATCCTGTGGCTGTTGGAGAGGTGACTCAGTGCCCACATGCTCCTACTGCTCTCACTTCAGGCAGTGGAATCTTCCAGCAGATTTTCCTGTGTGGTTTGGATGATGTTTACAGAAGTCAGCATGCACCCGTGTCCATGGAGAAAGACCTGACAGGCCCCTCCACAAGTTGGATCGCATCCACCAGTAACCTCCAGATACTGTACTCTGAAACACAGGTTGGTTGAACACAGGTACTTGCAAATACTGGGGACTCAGGTGGTGTATAGGCCTCGGATAGCGGCCTTACTTTTTGGCATACAATGTGACCTCAGTCCATTGCTGACTGGTGAACTGGCTCAGTGATTCTGGCCTTGTGTGTTGTTGCAAAGGTTAACTGAAGTAGGGACGCACCCTGTGGTATAGTGCTTAAGTTCCACATGCACTGTTTCTGCAGACTAGATTAGTGAGTTTGGATCCTGGGGGTGGACCTACACCACTCATCAGCCAAGCTGTGGTGACGACCCACAAGAAAATACAAGAAGATTGGCACAGATGTTAGCTCAGGGCAAATCTTCCTTAGTAAAAAAAAAAAAGGTTAGCTGAAGTAGTGTACTCACTGGCCTAGTGCATAGGTGCTGAGGAAATGGTGATTTCTCAGCCAGCCCTGTTCTGGGTGGGCCTCCTGCTGCAGCAGTTCCCGTGGGGAGGCCCGTTATCAGCTGCCCACAGAGCAACTATGAGTCTTGGCCACTCATCTGGTAGATTCCCCTATGATTTATACTCACCATTCCCAGGCATAATCATTCATGGATGAGGCAACCCAAGCCTTTTGGGGAGGTGTCCTGAAGCTCTTGTTTTCCAAAACACCGATGTGGTGGTCGTGAGCCATTAGACCAGCCTCCCTGAGAGACAGTTTACATTTGTCCTGGTCAACCTAGACTCGTCGGCTGCCGTCTTCAACTCTATTCCAATTTTACTCTTTTAACGCTCCCCTCAGGCCCTGCTTCTGACCTCTGTCATTCACGACTCCTGCTTCTTTTTATAAAGCCCTAAAATCTCTCCCTTTTGGCCTCCCCAGTCCTGGACCCAGTTCCTGCCTGTTTCCTCATTTTGTATCTCTTTTCCCTCATTCTCCCATCCAACTGTACTTCTTTTTTCTCATGAAGCCTTTGATCCCCTCCCCCTCCAGAGAATAACCACAGTTAACAGCATTTCCAAACACAGAAGGATTCTTTATTACTCATCTATTAACTAATACTTGTACTTATTGTTTTATTAAATTCTAAAATATATCAAAATAAGAGAAATATCTATCTATAGAAAAACAACTGGTCCCCAATGTGGCAGCAACAATGCTAGCAGCCTTATCTTGCATAGCCGTAGTATCGAGAAATTTCCATTTCTTTTTCCCTCTCAGTGAAAAACTGCACTTTCCCCCGAGAGGTGTACTTGGCAGCCTTCTCACGCTCCTGTTGAGCCTGCCTCTTCATGGCCTCCCGCTCTGGCCTCTGTTCCTGTGTGATGGGCTCTGACATCACTGGCCCTGGAATGTCGGGTTTCCTCCATGGAATTGGTTGCTTGCTGAAATCCTCCAGTAGATACTGGGCGGGAGGCTTGGGCGGGGCCTGGAGCATGGGCACAGCAGTGGCAACGGGCTCCTGCTGGAGAGAAGTGCAAGACGCTGTTGTGTAAGGTGCAGGCCTTGAAGCAGGACACTGAGGGACGCTAGGCCGGGTGGGGTTGGTCCAACCTGGTCGAGTGGGGTTGGTGGAAATTGGCCGAGCTGGTCTGGCAGGACCTGTCAAAGATGCAGGAGCTGGGTGGGTGGAATTGACTGCAGTTGGTTGGGCTGAGTTGGTGGAAGCAGGCCGGGCAGGGTCTGCCACAGCAGGCCGATGTGAGGCCAGAGCCTGTGGCCTCCGAGGAACAGGTCGAGCTGGAGGCTTGTCCACGGTCAGAAAAGGCAAAGGTACCAACCTGACCTTCCCAGGAGGTGGCAGCTCGTCCCGGGATGGAGGTGGACACTCCTTTTCAGCACTGCTCTCTGCTTTCTGGGCTTTGACTTGAGTTTCCTCAGGACACTGACCCTCCAGTGGTTTATCCAGCCACGGTTTGATAGCTGGGCAGGGCTGGGGGTGTTTGGGGTTGCTGGAGGTTCCCAGGGCCCGGGAGGAAGAGGGCCCGGTGTTGTTCTCACTCTTCCTCCCCAGAGCATGAAACACCTGCACCGACTCCAACATGTGCTGGCCGAGGCTGGTTCGAGGCCGCCTAAAGGTTTCTTGGCTCAGCTCGGGCTGATTCTTCCTCCGCTTCATCTTGGGCATCATTGGCTTCTCTTCCACCCTGACTTCAGTCCCTGACTGCCGACTCTCTCCGGCTTTCTTGGGGTTGTTTCCTCTGGTCCTCTTGGTCCTTTCCTGCCCATGGCTCTTAGTTGTACTGATCCTGCTGGGTGCAGCTTTCTGAGGTTTGCTGTTGGAGTGCTCGGCCTCGTTCTCAGGAGCCCTGTCTCCCCCTGACAGGCACTCCGGGTCCTTTGGCTGGATTTTGGCCTTGGGAGCACCATCGAGAGGCTCAGAGGCCTGATGTTTGTTCTTCCTGGTGTACTCGGAGGCAGCCTTTCTGCCACTTATCTTTTGCTGCAGCTGGATGGACTCGATGGCTCCTGTGTCTTTGGCTTGGATCAGCTCGGGGCCTTGGGGTTGATCAAGGTCTTTCAAGGGGTCGAATAGTTGGGGAAGGTGACCATCCTCCATCAGTGTAGCGATGTCTGCAAAGCCACCGCTAGCCTCGGTCCCGTTGTCCAGTGTCCCTTGGCCCTCAAGACTCAGGCTACTCTTTCCCACATCAGCGTTTTCGGAAGCAGGGTGGTCCTCTGGTCCGAGGGGATCGATGCAGGCCAGGAGCTGGAGAATATCAGGAATTTCTAAAGGCTGTAGTAGAGGCTCTTGGTTTTGTATTGGGATCTGGTCGGGATCCAGGGGCTTTGCAAGTTTGGTGTTAAACTCATCCCAGTTCTTTGGATTTGGAGACAGTGCCAGGAGGTCACTGTTAGACGTCTTGTCTGGAGCTGTCAGTGACATGTCCCCAAGCTCAGCTGGTGGGTCACTCTGCAGCATCTGGGTATTTCTGCTACTGCAGGATTTGGGGAATTCTGGAGCTTGCTGTAGGTAAATTTTCTGGCTTGGCGGTTGCAGCCCCAGGGAAGTCTCCATCCCCAGGGACGTTTCCACCACTACAAAGGAAGCAAGGATGAAGTGAGTCCTCGGTGGGTGAGATGTTCCCCCCTAGATACCAGTGCGGCAACCACGTCCCTTCCCCCGATGGGCAAGGCGTTTCTCCTGGCTCTTAAGGATCATGGACAGTGCCCTGTGCTAGGAGCTAAGAGGCGAGTGTTCTGGTTCTTACTGGTGATCATTGGATGTCATTGTCCCTTGGCTTTCTTTCTATTTCATAGGGTTGTCATAGGAGCAATAAAAAGTAAAAGAGAGTTTTATACTATGAGACATTTCACAAGTCCTAACATTCTCCTATAGAGTCTTTTTGATGCTGTCCATTTTCCCGGGAGAATGAGAACACGTCACACTGTGGACGAGGAGAGGGAGCGGAGCTCTTTCCGATGGAATATATGAGCAAGGACAGATTCCTAGCCTGCTGAATTTTGACAGCGTCTCGGGACAGAAGGGCTTATTCCTGGTATGAGTGAACAAAGTGAGGGAAAGTTTGCGTGTCTCTATCATAGTGATAGTTCTGACAGGCCTTCCCAGGAGACTAACCCCGTAAATCGGCAGAGGGAGTCCATTTGTATGTGGTGGAGTAGGGCACTTAGCAGCTGGGGTAGTGAGAGATATGGGGTCCCTTGGTGTGCTCTTGGGGTTCTCAGCCATGTAGCATAGATGAGCATTACAATGTCCCCCCTGCCCCCCTGTATGAGGTGTTCTTATGTCGAGTCTGAAATGGGGAGCACTGAGCGAGGGTAGTGTTCACTCATGTCTCAGGACTTCAGTTCTGCCTGTCTGTGGCCTCACCGCTTCCCGGCTGCAGATTTGACCCTGATTTTGGATGCAGACCTCCTTTCTCTGCCTTCTTGCTGTTTGTACTCACCTTGAAATCTGGTTTGTGGGATGGCTGGAGCAGACGCAGCGTAGTAGACCCCAGAGGTGGAGGCTGGTGGAAGGCCATGTGTGGGCTGAATCTCCTTTAGTACCAACACCATTTCTGGTTGAGGAGCAGAGGCCCCGGCTCCTGTGTAGGACACAGAGCCGTAGGACTGCAGGCAGGGGCCAAGTTCTCCAGACAGCAGAGGCCCCAGTGTGCCGTGACCACAGTAGTACACCTGGCTTCCTTCCTGGTAGGGAAGTGACAGGCTGTGTCCCTGATTTGGAACCTGAGATGGTGTTCCCTGAACAAGGCTGGTGGAAAGTGATGGATACAGTGGGACCGGGTTATTGGCACCTGAAGTTCTGTCATACTGTGCTGCCATATACATGGAAGAAACCGCTGTGTCGTGGCCAGTGACAGTCAGAGTGCAGTCTCCGAGTGAAGAGGACTCCTGTGCAGTGCTTCCTGGGACACCCCACTCAAAGAGACCCGGATAGGAAGCAGCTGAGGTGGAGCTCTGGCTCTGGCCAGTCACTCCAGACAGCGTGGTTGTGCTAGAATGTTGGTAAAGGTAGGCGCTGCCCATGAGTGGCTGGGAAGAGGTGCCCGAGGCTGATGGCAGTAGCCATCCTGAACTGACGGCTGGAGCAGAGACTCTGGAGAAATTGCAGACACTTCCTGCTAGGGAAGCTGCATCGCTCACCACAGGAAGAGAGAGCTGCAGGGAGTTTGGAGTTCCAAGTAAGGATGGATTCTGGAAATTTTCTGTAGGGAACAAGAGGGTGAAGAAAAACTCAGTGAGACTGATCAACTCTGACAATGTCTGAGGAGCAGCATCATCTCAAGGTTGCTGCATGAGGAAGCCTCTCATCCCAGTGCTCACTGAGACAGCAAACACCCACGGCTTTATGGTGGTTGTAAGGGCGGGAGGAGTTTGTTCCTTTCTGTGTAACTGCCTGTGCTCCCAGATGGGGCAGAGATGTGCAGAAGCCCCAAGTGGTGTGGGTCACACCTTGTTCTCTAGGCTGGAAGCCCCCTTCTCCCTGCCCATCCTTCCCTTCAGCCTCCCCTAGTCCTGACTCGTCTACTCTTTGCTAGCATTGAAGCACCTGAAACTAGAACGTCCTCAGAGATGCTCTGTTCTGACATTCTCCTGGTACGAGTGAGGAAACTGAGGCTCAGAGAGGTCAGCTGGAGTGGTCCGATTCTCCCATTATGGCAGCATCATCACCAGGTCACAGAGCCTAAGTCTCCTGACTTCTTGCCAGGACTCTGCTCTGACTGTTCCACTACCAGAACCCGGGAGAAGGAGACCTCCTAATAAGGTGTTTTCTTGGTCCCTTAGAAAACAGTGCAGCTGTTACCACTGTCTCTTCAGGGTCTGTTTGCTCGTACTGTTCACGTGCTGTTCCCTAGAGTTCACCCAGTAGTCAGTCCGGGTGGTAGGTGTAAAGGGTCACTCTTACCCTCTTCAAGCCTGGTTTCTGATCCTACCTCCACAGGATTGCCTGAGGGTGTGCATCCCAAGAAGTGCTTTTTGAAAGAAAACAGTAATTTAATCTCCCTGAGCTTCAGGTTACTCATCTGTAGTTACAATAACAACAGCAACAACAATAATAGTAATTCATACATGAATTCATATAGGACATATCTGTTATCTGGAGGAAGATATGATAAGTTCTGTGAAAAATCATGGAAAACATTTATCAAGGAAGTAAAAAGAACCATATAGATATTCATAAAAGCTGCGGTATGCAGCAAGCAACAAAGCAGAATCAGTTTACTGATAGTTCTGTATCATATACGCTTTGTCATGAAAGTGAATATTGCCGGCTCCATTGTAGTGAATACTATTTACCAAAACCAGCCCGAGAAGAAGGTGATTTTGAATGAATTCCTAGCCAGTACGTGCAGACAGAGTAGATCAGTAAAAGTGGCCTAAAAGGCATCAAAATGCTATCAATGTGAATGTATAGCTGGCCACAATATAAGCAGACAGATATTTCAGTGAAAACTGGTACAAAGCAGAGTGCAACATCCTAAGTGTAAAGGAATTCCGTTGTTGTGCTCGTTCTTATTTCTCTGACCATGAGCCGCAAGGAACGGCTAGTAAGCCTAGAAATCCATACTTCAATTAGTATAACCACATAGATGCAGAAGAGAGTACTTAAAAGGTATCAGGAAGGTTTTTCTATTTATCCTAAAACCTCAATTATTATCACCTTCAAGATCCAGGAAGGGGTCATCCCCAAAGACTAAAACCACCGTCATCACTAGAATCAACTTTTAAAAATTTAATGTAGGAAAACCGGAAGGATGCCACAAAATTGTCTGAGATAAATGTGGAGTCAGAGATGGGGCACTTGAGTTTTGCTTTTTCTTCTCGGGCAGCTTACATCTAGAAAGAGATGGTGGCCGTTTCTCAGTGCGCGCTCTATGTCAGGAAGAAAATGTTTATAAAGATGAAAAGCAGCCTTGACTTGGAACCTACGTATCACACACAGGAATTAATCCTTCTGATTCAAGTTAGAGGATATTATTTGTTAGAAACTTATGTTTTATTTTTAATGGGCAAAACCTCTACATAGTTAAAAAATGAGAATGAAGGGGCTGGCCCCGTGGCCGAGTGGTTAAGTTCGCGCGCTCCGCTGCAGGCGGGCCAGTGTTTCGTTGGTTGGAATCCTGGGCGCGGACATCACACTGCTCATGAAACCCCGCTCAGGCAGCATCCCACATGCCACAACTAGAAGGACCCACAATGAAGAATATACAACTATGTACTGGGGGGCTTTGGGGAGAAAAAGGAAAAAAATAAAATCTTAAAAGAAAAATGAGAATGAAATAAAGCACTAGAAATTCTGTTGCCTCCAGCCGTCTGGATAAGCACTTTATCAATTTCTGGATTATAGGAAGTGTCATTTCTAAAAGATCTCTGAAATGTTTATATTCAAACTCTCAGGTGCCCTCCGCGTTCAGAGAGGCAAGAGAAAAAAGCAAACAAGCGAGTCTGAGTCTGAGAAGCCGCTTTGCCTGGCGATGCCCTGTTCTGCCTCACTGGCCTTCCTCGGCTATGAATGTGAGCGTTTGCTGAAGTCAACTGTGCTTCGCCCTGCTCTGAGCACGTTTTCACTCTGTGCTCTTCCTGCTGCAATTGAAAATCTTTGGTTCCTTCAGCATGTCATGCCAAACCACCTCTTTTTCCTGGAGAGCTCCTCCTTGCTCTCCTCCTCATTCTTCTATTTTCTCAGCCCTCTAGGTTCCTGTTGGCCTGTGCTGATGAAAACAATCCTCAACTTCCTGACCTTTGAAGACTAGTCCCCCTATAGCCCAGTACTCTCCATTGTCTCTTCCTACTTTTTTTTTTTTCACCTCATTTAGGTAGATAACTCCAAACATGGGCATATTGCCTTTTGAACAGCACTAAATTTAAAATACTACGGTTGAAATTTCAGTGGAGGGAGACCATTACAGATGAAACCTTTGGGGATATACTGCTAACTTCCTGCATCACCTAGATTTCTCTCTGTTTCTGTGGAAACACCCTCAAGAAGTCTCTGATTTCATTTCTACCTGGGTGCCCTTTAAGATTCAATATTAGAAAAGAAAAGGAGCAGAAGGAACCACAGTTGTAATATCCTGATGTGAGAGATGAGAGAAAACAGAGTTTGTGAGAGAGTCAACGACTTGTCCAAAGTCCTACAGCTCATAAATGTCAAAGTCAAAACTTAAATTAGGTCCCCAGGTTTACTTCAATACTTTCCTCCCATTATTCTCTGCTACATTAGAATCTACTACCAAATTTAGGGGCAAAAATACATAATGGAACACTTAAAAAGTTAGTTTCCTTGCCTGACATGGCGAGAAAAGAAGAGGAAGCATCAACTGCAGATCCAAGAGATGAGGAGACGATACCAGAGGAAGTCTGAGTGGCTGCCGTCAAAGAGCGGTGTGTCCAGTATGAAGGTCACTGGTCACACTGGTCGCTTGCGATGATCCAAATTTATTTACAGACAACTCCATGGAAACCCCAAGATTCTAGCAGGTGGCAGTAGGTCTAGGGGGAGAATGATGTCACAGAGCAGGCAGTTCAAAGGTACGAGACAGCCAATAGGGCGGCCAGATTCCCCACAAGAAGATGGGATTGGGTGGAGGGAGTCGGGGGAGAGCTACAGCAGCACCTGCATGGCTGAGCTCTGGGGAGGTGACATCCTAGGAGCCACATGTGCTAGTCTCTCTTCCCCAGGCTCTTATGTTAGGGAATCCTCTCAGTGTTCCTTATAGATGTTCATTAATGTAAGTAACTCATAGTTCTTTGTATTCTATGAATTATACTTTATAACATATATGGTACATTAGTAATTACATGTACAGTTAGTTAATATCCTTAGAGAGGAAGGAAAAGGACATCTAGGTTGACCTATTACCGTTGTTCTGAAATCCTACCAGGTGATCTAACGGTGAACTTACTGCAGGTTTTAAGGAGCAAAGGAAAGGATTGGCAGCTCCTTCTGTAACTTGGTGAAAGCGTAGGGTGAGGTTTGTTGAGTGCCCCTTGTGGGGAATGATGTGGTTCAAGGCTCTTCTCTTTGAGTTTCTTCTCCTTGAATCCTACCTTCCTTGGACTGGGCTGGGCCGGGTTGGACTTGCATCTCTCTGCTGCTCCCCTTTTCTTTTGTCTGCATTATAGGCCTTGTTTCTGGGACCAGCCTCGCCCTTGCATCTCCCCCTCCTGGGTGTTACTTCCTTTCAATCCCAGCAGCAGAGGTCTTCTTTCCAGTGCCTGATGCTTCTGAAAATGGCGCCTGCCCATTAGAAGCAGATGCCAGAGAGCCAGGGACACAGCTGAGGGCAGAGCTCTTCTCTTCCAGCCTTGGGTTGCAATTCTTTTGCCCATAATTTGCTCCCTCTGGCTCCTTGGGCCACACAGGCCTCCTGCCATCCCGCGCTTTTATACATGAGAGGCATTCGGGGTCCTCCCCTTTCCTTCTCCTCTGAGTGTATCCAGTGTGGCAGTTGCTGTAGCCTCCTCCCTCTTGGAAACAGCCACTGTAGAACATTGGGCCTCTAGGGTTCTCTGTCGGCCATGGTTGTGTGCAAGGCTGAGCAACATGCAGAGGAGAATAGTGAGAGAAAGAGGAGGACATTCGTGGAGAAAAGGGAAGAGGCAAGGTGAAAGGGACAGGAAAACAGCTGTCTGTGGATTTTTTGGCCTTGAGAAACAGGTGGACACATTTTGCCCTCATTTTGTATTAAGAGAACAGAAAATTCAGTATATAGCTTTTCAATTTGCTGGGTAGTCCTGCAACAGCCGCAGTTTCTGTCCACTAAAGAGAATAATCTTAAATCACTTTCTCTCACTTTGTTTTGTGTGATATTACATCATTTATGTTATTCATTGGTAATTGTGTAGAATATGGGTTGTTTTCAAATGCTCTGGGTCTTTCTCCGTGTTTCTCCTGGTTGTGTTTTTAAGGATCCAGCGTTGGAAGACAGATCACATGCTGTTCTCCTGCTGATTGTTCATTGGGAAGCGTCACAAACTAACTTGACCTGAAGGGTTCTGTGGAGAAACTTACGAGGGGTCTGTGAGAA